GGTTAGCGCACAATCTCTTTCAGAGAAATGTGGGTACCTGATATGTCTAGTTGGGATGAAACTTATAACTTGTGATGAGGTAAGATATTTAGGCAGTAAGATCTCACCTTAGCCATTTTACTGCCTCTTTAAACAAGGGATATGAACAATTTCAAGCAACTTTAACACAGAGTTTGAAACAATTTGGTTCTCTAGAAAAACAAAATCTCAATTATACACTGTTTCCTAAGTAGCTTATCCACAGAGAAGCCAGAAGAAACCTCCCCAGCATTTCGCCTTCTGGTGTTCTTATTTCACATGGAAGTGGGACTCACGTGTGAGTACCTCATGTGGGACTTCTTTTTTTGCATTTGTAGTAATTGGATAGTATCACTCATCTTTTTTATTTTAATTACTCCACAAATCCTTGCATTTGTGATGTTGGTTTTCATCTCAGTCATATTTAATTTTAATAAAATGAAGGAAATTGTATTTTACAATGTATGTTTGTCACACTACTGCACCAGGCAAGTACTCTCTCAATAGAACCATCTTCCACTCACACAGAGAAAACAAAAAGGGAGTCAGGAGATGAACCACAAACTTTTTTAATATCTGAGGAATGATTTAATGGGTGTATGGAAAAGTGATTTGGTATACTTCAATGGCAAAGAGCTTTTATTTTTTGTCTGACTATTCAATTAAGCTACAGAGTGCCCCACATTGCCATGATTAGAGATTCATTTTATTAATCCTAAAAACTCAATAAATATTTCCTTTACAAAGGACAAACTTTGCAATAACCAATGTGTTTCTGTTGTTACCTATTCTGTGCCACCCCAACCTTCAGCCTACTGGCAGGCCAACCAATGTGGAAGGTTGCAGGGAGGTTCTACTGTGGGAAAGCAATGTTTCCCTGGAGATGATAACTTAAGAGTTCAGTGTCTCAACTGAACTCAGCAAGAAAACAAACAAACACTTGCTCCTTCCCAGTATACTTCCTATACTTCCTACAACCTTTCAAAGCCCATACATGTTTATAAATTATGTTAACAAGGAAACCATCAACAAAATGGAAAGAGAACCCACTTTGACTGGGAGAACATATATTTGCCAATGATACATCTGATAAGTGGTTAATTTCCAAAACATATAAAGAACTTACACAATTCAACATCAGGAAGGCACACAATCCAATTTAAAAAATGAGCAAAGGACCTGAAAAGACACTTCTCCAAAAAGGACATACAGATGGCCCATAGACATATGGAAAGATGCTCAATGTCACTAATCATCAGAGAGATGCAAATAAAAACCAAAATAAGGTATCATCTCACACCTGCCAGAAAGCGTATCATCAATAAATCAATGAACAACAAGTGCTGGTGAGGATGTGGAAAAGAGGGAACCCAGAGCACTATTAGTGAGAATGTAGACTCGCGCACCACTGTGGAGTTTCCTCAAAAATTTAAAAATAAAACTGCCTTTGACCCAGTGCTTCCCGCTTCTGAGAATATATCCTAGAAATCCAGAAACACCAATTCAAAAGAATAAATGCGCCCCTATGTTCATTGCAGTGTTATTTGCAATAGCCAAGATCTGGAAGTAGCTCAAGAGCTTATCAAGGGATGAGTGGATTTAAAAAAGCTGTGGTACATTTACAGTAAGGAATGTTATATGGCCATTAAAAGGAGGGAAATCTTACCTTTGGCAATAGCATGGATGGACCTGGAGATCATTATGCTAAGTGAAATAAGCCAATCCAAGAAAGACAAATACCATATGACCTCATTTATATGTGGAATCTAATGAGCAAAATTAGTTGACAAAGTAGAAACAGAGGCATGGACACATGGAACAGACCTACAGCTGTCCGAGGGGATGGAGGAGGGAGGATTAGATGAAAAAGGATGAAGGGATTAGTGAAAGATCATATATGCATAACCCACAGAGACAGACAACAGTGGGGTGATGGCCAGAGGAAAAGGGGAGGGGGGCTGGATGGAGGTGGGCAAAGGAGGGAAAAGGGGGACATCTGTAATAGTGTCAACAATAAGAATATAGTTAAAAAATAAGTACCATTAAATAATAACAATAATTGTAACGTCCAATGCTTATACTGTGTTTATTATTTAGTCCCTATGAGCTTTTTTAAATGTATAAATTTACTTTTTTATAGTGATATAATATGCATAGCATTAAATTTACCATTTTTATTACTTGTATATAGTTCAATGGCAGTAAGTACATTCACATTATTGTGCAACCAGCAAGACCTTCTATCTCCAGAATTATTTGTATCTCCTCAAACTGAAATGCTGCATCCATCCCCTTTCCTCCCTTTCTCCAGCCCCTACTTTAGACAGCACCGTTCTACTTTCTGTCTAAATTTGACTGCTCTAAGTACCCCATGTAAGTGGAATCATACAATATTTGTCCTTTTGTGTCAGTGTTATTTCACTTGGCATAATGCCTCAAAACTTCAGTCATGTTGTATATGTGTCAGAGTTTCCTTCCTTTTTAAGGCTGAATGATATTCTATTATATGTATACACCACAGTTGGTTTATTCATTTATCCACCGTGGACATTTGGCTTGTTTCCATTAACTATTTTTTATATTAACTATTTTTTATATATTAACTTTTAATCTTCATAATGTCTCAGTGATGTTGGTATCTTTAATATCCCCATTTCACGAAAAAAAAAAAAAAAGAATTATAAAGAGATCGGAGCTAGGGCACTCCAGAGTCAGTATACCACCCCAGGCTGAGTAGGCCCCCACTCCCTGCTCTCAGCCAGCGTCTATCCTGCTGCCCTTTCCAATGACCGAAGGCACTCAATACAGCATGCGCCAGTTAGCCAATGCTTGATATAGCACTCTAAGGCCAGGTTTCTGACTCAATTTTGTCAGTTTTAAAACAAGAAGTCATCAGTTTGACAACTGATTTATAAAGTCCTATTGCAACTGATTTATAAAGAATCTAATAGTGCAAAATAAATAGTTTTCTGGGGAATGAGAGGATGTTATTTTCTTTTCCAGAGGCCTCTCTAGCTTGAATGACGCAAACCCTAATTATGATTAGGCAGGGCGAGAAAGTAATTTGAAAATGCCAGTAAGAGCTACTGTTTGTGAGCTTTCTATATGCTGATGACTTGCCTTACGTCACTGCAAGTTTCCACGTGCTTTGTGAGAGGTCACCCTTCGTCTCTGCCTGTCCCATGCTTTCCCAGTATTCCGCATCGCCCATGCCCTCTCTCCAGGGAGAAACCTGAACATGATGATGTCATATTGCCTAGCATGCGCGTTTTCTTAATGGTTTGTTCTCTTTACAAATGTTATTAGTTTTGGAATTTTAATATGTGTCATATGTATGTCTTTGATTGGCATTATAAGATATCATCTTTAATGTTTAGATATCACAATTGGCTTATTCAGTAAAATAATTTGGCCAAAATTTACATTACCTATTTGTAGAACTGTTGCTATGGATGAATTATGGCCCCCTTTCCCTGCCTTATTCATAGGTTGAAGTCCTAATTCTCAATATGATAATATCTGGAGATAGAGCCTGTGGGAGATAATTAGGTTTAGATGAGGTCATGAGGGTGAGGCCCTCATCATGGGATTAGTACCCTTATCAGAAGAGACACTAGTGACTTTGCTTCCTCTCTCAGGCTGACACAAAGTGGAGAGAGATCCTTCGAGTGCACAGCAAGGAGACAGCAATCTGCCACCCAAGGGGAGAGCTCTCACCAGGGACCAAACATGTTGGCTCCCTGATCTTGAACTTTTAGCCCCGGGAACTGTGAGAAAATTAATTTCTGTCATTTTTAAGCTACCCAGTCTGCTATTTTGTTGTTGCAACCCAGCAGACTAATATAACTGTATAAACACATATAGGATATATTTTCAATTTATAATATCATATTAATTACAGATAATGTTTATTATTGCTTTACTCTGGAACTAGTCCTAGGCCAAGTACATTGGTGGTATGTGTGTGTGCATGTGTGAGCGCATGTGAGGTAGTGTAATTATAACATTATCTCCATTTTACAGAAAGAGAAATTGAAGTGTAAGGAGGTTTTAAGGTAATTGCTCAAGGACACATAATAAAAAACAGAATCCATATCTAAACTAGACAGTTTCTAATCTGCATTAGGCCTACACATAACAATGTTCCTTACAGCAGATGCAGTTTCCACTATGAAGCCTGTCAATAACAAACATGTCAATCTGTCTAAATTCAATCTCTACTAAAGTTACTTCATGCAGTTATTCTAATTAACAAACCTGAAAACTGGGAATGACATTGCTTCATTTAAAAAATTGTCAATTGTGCCCTGGCTGGGTGGCTTAGTTGGTTGCAGTGTTGTCCTATACACCAAAGGTTGTGCTGTGGGGTTCCATTCCTGGTCAGGGCACATACCTAGGTAATAGGTTCAGTCCCCATTTGGGGGCAGGTGCAGGAGGCAACTGATTGATGTTTTATTCTTACACTGATGTTTTTCTCTCTCTCTCCCTTTTTCTCCCTCTCCCTCCTTTTCTCTCTCAAATCAATAGACTTATCCTTGGGTGAGGATTAAAAAATTGTTAAGTGCATAAAATGTTCTAGAAAGCAGTGCTGGTATGCATGTGTCAAGTTTCTCAGAAAAGAAATGTCTCTGAGAGCAGTTTCTTTCTTCACAAAGAAAGGAAGAGTAGACTCATGAACTCTGGGTGAAATTGTGACTTCATTGCAATTTACCTCCCACCAACTCAGATTCCTGTTTTTGGCCCCCTTCCCATTTGCTCTATTAGTGCAATCCCTTGCCACCATCAGTCATGGCCCAGGATCCTTGAGCTCAAATATTCTTCTCACCACACATATATACATTATTAAATTAGAAAGAATCCGATGCTTGCTTTCATTCCCCCAAAGCCCACCATGTACCGACATACAGGCCACCAATATTTTAGGACATGTGTTTCAAGGTTCGTTGGGGACATGATATTAACCATCCTCTTGTTTCTCACAGAGCTCCAGGACAACACGCTCTGAGGAGGACAGGGACAGCCTGTGGGACGCCTGGGGCCCATGGAGCGAGTGTTCACGCACCTGCGGTGGAGGGGCCTCCTACTCACTAAGACGCTGTCTTAGCAGCAGGTATAAGTCCTGTACCTACTGGGGGCTTTTGTAAGGGCCACAGATAGTAGGTTCAAGATCTGCTCTTGTGGTTGGGGTTATGCAGAGCATTTTCTTGCACACAAATCCAGATGAAGGGATGAAAGGAAGGTACAAATAATTAAAAGGTACATCTCCAGATAGGTATTTATATACTCTTATATAATAAGCAGTCATTTTTAATGACTAATGAACTCATTTACCAAGCAAATTTTGTTATGTTTTCACGTTAGAACTGGAAGGAGAACTTATTAATAGAAGTGGATCCCTTAGCTCTATGATATACTTTTTGTACTATCTTAACAATTATGATGACAATCATAACAACAATATGAACATTAATAGTATATTAAGTTTATGTTGAATCCAATGTTACCAAGACCTTTGCAAATGATTGGTATGTTGGTTTAGTTTTTCAGCTGTGGTAATGGGCAGAAGTTCCCTCAGGTCACTTATTTTAATCAAGGATGAATTCTGACTATAAGAATATTTTGAAGAGTAGACATGTAGTGGGAATCGGTGATGAATAGTGAAAGTGATGATGAAGGTAGAAGAGTGGTTAATGACTTCTAAGCTGAAAGGGAAAGGACTGAGGTATTAGAATGGAATGTCTTTACTTACAATAATAATTCATAACTACTTCTTCAGTTGTGTGGTCCATAACTAGATTTTTCTCCAAACTGTAAAAATAAAGTACCCTGGTAATATTTTTTAATAAGTGATTTTATTTGACAGTGCAAGTAAGAGGTTTGGTCAAAATTATTACATATTATAAAACATGAAAAAAAGAAGGAAAAAAGATACACCTCTGATTCTTACATGCTTTTCATAAATAGCAGAAAGTGGTGAGATGTACATTCAGGAAAATGTCAAGTTATTCTAATAAGAGTGACAATTTCTTGAAATCAGGGTCTGAGTCTTATTCCTTCTATACCCCCTAAGCCCGCAGAGTCTGACAGATGTCAGGAGTTCAATAGATGTTTCTTCACTGAATCCATTGATAACTACAGACCATTTTGGTTCCAGACAGAGGTCTCAGTGGAAATGGCATACACTGCAAAAATGGAAGTGCAAGAAAAGAGAAATTCTGGTTATTAAGCTATTGTGGTATTTGGGTCTGCACTGAAGATAGGTCTATTGGATTGTGTTCAAGTTTGTTTATCTTCTTTGGAACCCAGCTTCATATCCAACCAGATCCCTGAACTGATAAGAAAGGATAGGCCTTTCATTTTTATGTTTCACCTGTTCTCTTAATCTTGAACATGATGAACTTCCTAAATCTACACTACTTGATGCTATGTGGTGATAGCACTCTGAGCCATAACTGATAATAAACATTCATCAGTAAAGCCAAAATGTACAAAATTGGAATGTTCCTATTATGTAGTTTTCTTAAATTAGCATCCTTGAGTGTGCTTTAGGGATGAGCCAAAACATGTGTCTCACAAAGCTAGTAAGAAATGCATGGGAAACTTTATGTTGGCTCCGTGATGTGAATGTTACATTGTGATAGCCTTTTATTGAGTGAGAGACTGAGAAGCCACTTAAGGAACAAATTAATATCACAAGTAAAATTCTGTCATTCAGCATTTTACCAAATATTGATGTTATATGAAATTTAAAAATACCATTTTTGTCACATGGCAAAATAAGACTCTAGTTGTTAAGATTTTTTAAAACACTATAGAAGATATCAGTTATCATTTATTTACAATGAACTACAAAATAAACTCTAAATTCTAAAATTATAAATGTATAGAATACATATCTTTAATCGACTTTCAAATACATTTAATAAATACATACTGGGCTGGAAAAAAAGCTAAAAGATGGGGAGAGGAGTGGACCAGCCATTTCTTGGCACTTGATGAAGAAGGAAAGCCTCCAAACAGATGGCATTTCCAAATCCAGTAAGAACATAAAGAAGAATTAAAACAACAGGCTGAGCCCTGGCCTGGGGAGCTCAGTTGGTTGGTGTTGCGGGGACAGAGCATGTCGCATGAAGCGCAGGGCTCCAGGATCTGAGGGTCACTGCCCTGGGCCAGCTGAGGAGGGAGCAGGGCTCTGAATCCCACAGAGCCTGTCCCAGGGCTGTCACGGATGAGGGGGAATAAACACGAGTCATTGCAAACACCTCTCTCTCTGCCAGGAGAGGGGACATGGCTCTTCCCTCTAGTGGAGAAGGCCCAAACCCTTTTTCCAAAGGCTTTTATTGAAAGGGTTATCAGTGGGGCTCGGTAATAGGAATATGCAGCTTATCTCATTACATCAGTATGTTAATGTTTACAGAGAATAGATGAGGTTTTGAAGAAAACAAATGGCAAGAACACACCGATTTACATGGGTCTGAGAGGAGACTAGTAAACATGAGAGTGTAAACATGAGGGCGCCAAAGGGTATAGGGTTAGGGTCTGCAAATAATGTAAATTTCCTTCCCAGCATGAGCTGGCTATTGTAGGTTTTGAGGGAAAAACAAAGCACGCTTTAAAGAATTTACTTTTAGGCCTGATTTCCTCTGTGAACTGCCAGATCCAGTTTAGAACTGTCTCCAGTATTGTTTCGAGCCTGAGCCAGGCAGGAGGTAGCCGCCAAGAGACAAGGAAACTTCTTTCGAAGCGAATGAGGACCCCGGCCATGTCCAAGACAAGCTGAGGGATGCGGGCCTTTTTGCTCTTTCTCCGTGTCCCCCAAGTCCTCGTCAGCTGCCCATACTGGCTGTGTCTGTCTTAGGTTGCCTCTCCTCATGAGAGATCTTACCTGTCTTTGATTAGCTGACCATCACAGGGCCAAGCAGGGTGATGTGAGGGAGTCAGGGTGCTGCACCCCTGCCAGGGAGACAGGTTTCATCTCCTTAGTGGCCTGTTTTCCCAAGGCCTCCTTGATTATTTCCAGCCCTTGAGCCCTCTTTCCTGTCTGTGGGGCAACAGTTCCTAAAACCAGGCAGGGCGTTTCCTAACAGGTTAGAGCATTGTCCTATACACCAGAAAGTTGTGGGTTCAATCCTGATCATCAGGGAACATACCGGAGTTGCAGTTTTGATCCCTGGTCAGGACGCATACAGGGGGTAACTGATCCTTTGATGTTTCCCTTTCACATTGATATTTCTTTCTCTCTCTCCCCTCCTTCCTTCCTTCCTCTCTCTCTAAAAATTAATACACATATCCTCTGGTGAGGATTAGAAAAAGAACAAGAAATAAACTGAATAGCTGAACCAAAATACCATATTTTGCCATGTATAATGCGCGCCCACATTTTTGTGCACATTATACATGGGATTATTATAGTCATGGTACGTAATCATTATACCATGTGTAATGCACATCCTTATTTTTCCCTCAAAAATTACGGCAAAAAAGTGTGTGTTATACATGGCAAAATACGGTGTGTGTCATTTGTCTCAAGAAAACCAGAATAGTACAGCTGAGCATACACTGACCTCACAATACAACCCCTAGTGAAGAATGGTGCCAAAACACGTTCTGGGACACAGATAAGTAGTCCTAATATGATTTTTTAAGAATGCACATTGACCAAAGTCAGTCATTTGACCAATCCTAGAGTCAAAGTGGGAAAGAAAATTTGCTACATGGAAAAGCATGCCATGTAGGGAGGGTAAAGAACTGGCATCATTTTTGCAACCTACCATGGTTGGTCTTACGTGGCTTTCTTATTTATTTTTAATGACTAATGAACTTAATTGGTTTCCCCTCATTTCTGAACCCCAGATTTAGGTATCTAATTTCCATCCAGTCACTTTATGTTCTTGGGAAAGATCAGAGGCTATGAATGTGTGTGTGTCCTTAGAATCCTAGCAGGTGACTGGAATGTGTGTGTGGTAGTCTAATAGTGAGCATTCAAATTCAGCCCAAATAAATCCCATCCACTTACTGAACTAACCTGCCAAACCAATTTCTTAGCCCTGGTCAAATGCTCTTAGGTCACATTTAGGTCTGATATTTTAAGTCTGTCAGCTAATAATTATTCTATTCCCAACATGATAAAACTGTAAAGAGAGCTAAAATGCCTAAATTATATTGAATAGATAACTGCTCAACTTCCGGAGTTAGCTATGTTTCCTGATGGACTAGGAACTTGTAAGGAGGCTTGGTTATCCTGAACAGAGAGCATCTTCTCTGATTGATTGTTTGATGGATACAGGGATTGAAAAAGCAGTGGAGGCAAAGCAAAGTGAAAGTACAGATAAGCATTAAATGTTAAATCCTTCACTCTCAATGGGCAGTGCTGGATGCTGGGGGAAAAGCACCAATCCAGGAAGATACTAAGCAGAAGTCTTTCCTTGGCTTCTCCTCGTCCTTCTTCTGAGGCTCACAGAAAGTAAGCAGTGCTTGATTTTCCCAATTCCTGGTATTGGAGCATTGATAACTGTCTTTACCTACCGTCTTGGTTTGAGCACTGAAAGAAGGCGCTGTATAAACTTTTTTCCTATAACATTTACTAATTTCTATAACATTATGTTTTATTGTATAACTCTGTTAATGTAACTGTTGCTGATCTTGTATCACCAAGTGGTAGGTAAAGTCTGCTTTTATTTTTTTCAATAAGAGAACAGACTATACCTACTTGTACTTTATTGTGGTTCTTTATTTCAAATGAATTAAATAAGAGCCCACTACCTGAAAAACTGCTGCTTCTCTTTCCAATTCTCCATCTTTCCTGCCAAATACTCTAAAATAATAGTTTTAGCAAATTAATATTTCTAGTTGACCTATCTAGTGAACATTTTTTAGTGAAAATAATTCTTTTCCAACCTAAGTTACTTAAGAATATTTTTAAAAATTTGATACTAAAGATCTGCCTCTAAGAGCTCTAGGTTTGTCTTCATTCAGTTAATTTATTTTGTTCATAAGGAGTTCCAGATGCATAAAGCACTTAAGAATAGTGTGCTTTAATGTGATATACACCACTGTTGTAGATCTATGCCAAGACCGAGGTCAAAAGGGGAAACTGCTCCTTATCTGAAA